ATACATAAATACACGTTTATTTACATGTTTGTTCTCTGTACGTCCTACGGTTAGTCGATTGAAAAGGAATCGGCGTTACTTTGATAAATCTTGATTTCAATATTTAAATTATAAGCGCACGAAGGAATACTTTTACGCAGACAGAAAAAAAAAAACAACAAACAAACAAACGAAGACTCCACACGTCCGTTGCTTCTCGTTCGTACACCGTCTGTCAGAGTTTTATGTACAGAAAAGGGGGGGGATAGAGTTTGTTGGTGTCGCGGTCGCGTGTCACCGGTAGCTAAATGGTCAACTATAACTTATAAAATATAGCCGAATGATGCTATATTCAAGTTAGTCAGCGTGGTCCCATTAGCCACTGCCCCGTTTTGGTTTCACACGCAACTGAACTTGACACCTGGAACATAACGATTAGGGGTGTAGATCTAACTACGAAAAAATTAAAGTGTAAAGATACACAAATTATTGGAACATACAATAAATGATAAAATTGCAGTTGTTTCGTGCTGTCATAAAATTGAAAGTTTGGTTAAATTGATTTAATAAAGTACGAATTTTTCGACGATTTATCATCCTGACAAATGTTCACCGCGTATTTGTCTAGCAAGAAAAATGATCGGTCCAAGCTGACCTAATTTTAATCGTAGGTATAAATAGAGCAAGTTAAATGCGAATACCGTCGTCACTGGAGTAGCAGTTATGGCAGTGAAGCTTGTCATTCCTAACGCGCACGTCTGTTCCCATTAGTCCGTCACCAAGTCGCACGTGACACACACAGCATTTGAAACATTCCATGTGATAGAACAGTCGCAGACTTTCGATGATCATCGCGGCGCCTCGACCTGAACATTCAAAATTATTTCCCTGCCTGTCAAATATTTGACACATTTACAATTAAAAGTGTTAAATGAAAAATTTAGAATTTTAGTTGATAAATTAAGTTTCATCGTGGAAATGTTAAATAAAAAATTCCAATCACAATGCATAAATTAATTATTTGAGAAACTTTCACTAACGTTCGTTGCAACCAATGTATGTATTCTGGACCGCATATGCTGCGTCAGTGGCAGCGAACAACGTTGACAATCAATTGGGGCAAAATATATTTCATATTTTCTACTTTTTCATACCTAATTCATCTCCACAATGCGAGCACTTCTTTTTCCCACTAACGCTTAACATTTTCTCCTGATTCTCATTGTTCATCTGAGGAGGTTGCTGAGATTTCTGCGGCGGCATAACATGCGGCGACTGGTGTTGCAACGCGGAAAGGTGTTCCTGGCTAGTACTATGTTCCAATCTGCAAAATAGAAATTAAAAGAAAAAATGAAAATTAAGTACATTCGAGAAAATTGCGAAAAAAATTACAATCTTTTCTTTGATTATTAACCTTCTTCTTGGTGGAAGAGGTTTCTCCTGCGCTCTGTTCTGCACTCTTTGCGTAAGCGTTTGTATGATAGAGTCAGGCAATGGTTTACTGTCTGTCCTCGTTGGAGCCGTAGTATAAGGAACCGACGTCCCTGTTACATGCATCTGAGGTTTCCGCGCTGGCGATCGTTGGTTCTTTTCACTGATCCTCCTCTGCTCCGCTTCCTGTGCGTGATATTAAAACGACGATAAAACGTGCTCTTTCCTTCAGATTTTCACGAGATAGCGTAGAAAGTATCTCTAATCGTTCCTACACTAATCCATTTAGATAACAGTTACAACTAATCCAAGTTTCTCTGCAGTTTTTACTCTCTAAATTAGACGCGGCGATCGATGTTATTCTTCTCGTTAACCTTTTAACGAAATTTTCAGTAATTATCGATTAATTTTTGTTCCCAGGTGTATAAAAATAAATTTCCTATTATTTATAGCGCTGTAATTGATGTTTCTGACATAATTTGAAAGGATAATACAATATGGAGAGTAAAACAAAATAATTCTAATTTGAAGAGTTAATTGTACCAATCTTCCAGAAATGATTTGAATTGAATTCGAGTGAATTCCTTATAAAACGATTACCTGTATGAGCCAGTGCTGGTAATTCAGATCGTGAGCACCTCGTGGAACATCGCTTTTTCTTCGTTGGACCCATTGATCGCTCTGAACGATTCGTGGTCGAGGTACTGCACTAAGCGCTTGCAACGTTTGCCTGCTCATTTGTTGACCAGCGTGACTCGAAAGCGTCGTCACCGATGCACTGTGTCGCAAAGACGCGTCTACTTGCTGGGGAATCGAATCCGCCGACGGAATCCTGCTGCTCCTGTTCATTTTACAAACGCGTAACTTCGTTATCACTCAAACGGTCAACATTTCGTTAAATTTCTCTCTCTGTCTTCCTTCCACTTTGCTACACGAAACTTATCAATTTGTGACTGCACTTTTTAATCAATTTACACCAGTACATTCACTGTTCACTTCTTCATCAAGCGAAACGTTAAATTGGAAACAATCGAAATATTTCAGACGACACAGTGGTACGATTCGAAGATTACGAACGATCGAAATGCAATCAGAGACTGCGACAAGTGTCGTTCAGACAGTGACTGTTACATCAGGTGCAACAAAGCGGAA